ACCTCCCTCGAAGTATGGTGATGTCTCTTTCTTTGGAAGTTTTAAAACAGGATAGATGGCCATCATTCAGAGGTGCTTTAATTCTGTGTTCCTGCATGGCAGGGATTGGACTGGATGGCTCTTGAGAGCTCTTCCAATTCTATGATTCCATGATCCTATGATTCTAAGACTTGAGGGAAATACTTCTTCATGAAAGGTTAGAAAGCTACCACAAATCAGTCTTCGTTTAAATGTCTCAGTGATTTTATTCTGCAACCCAGTCACTAGAAATGACGTCACAGCTCTTTAATTCATACTGGTGTGAGCTAATCCAGGACATTGTGCTTGTACTGAGATGACACCTGCATCACAGAAATGACTGACAAAAGTGACAGAACACTCAGATATAAACATGAGTGTTATAGAGCCTGTTCAAGGAGCATCTGTCACCAATGTGTTGTCTAAATTAACACCTGCATTCCTACTTGATGTGCAAGATGTCATGGACTTAAACCCCCTGAGCAACTAGTCTTGCTGAAATGCTTGGAAGTTCTAGAAATTTTCCCAGTGCATTAAGCAACTATGTTTATCTTGGAAACAGTATACAAGATTTCCAACATAATTGAGGTTGCAGGATTTTACTTTCAGGATAACTGAGCTTTCAGTTCAAGATTAATATGGACAGTCTTTTCTAGATGGAATACTGCTTATGGAAACTCAAAGCATCTTAAATAGATATCCTGGATGTATTTGGTTAATGCATTAATTGGTAGCCACAGGTGGCTAATGGCCTCTGTGGAGGTTCATCATGCCCTGCAGGGATTCTTCTACACAACCATTACATTCAAAAATGTTATCCTGTCATCTGGAATCTATAGCTATGGACTCATCAGGGAAATCAAGACCCCAGTTCAACTGTAATCTCCTGAAGGTTTTACTATATATACAATATTTGAAATAAACAACTAACAGCACTGTTTTCATATTGTACCTGGATTCCTGAAGCATATTATAAAACTGAAGCTGATTTAATAACATTTAATAAAAGTATTGACAACAGCACTTTATGAAAAGCATGAAATATTTCTCAGCTTCCTTCTTCCCCAATGATGTTTGTTGGAATGGGAGTGTTAAACAGCATCCCATGATAGCTAAATAATTCCTAATGTCTACGCATAATTTAATTAATTAATGCAAGGATTAGATCCAGTGTGGTGTAGTGGTTTCAGTGTTGGAGTAGGACAATGGGAGACCAGGATTTGAATCCATACTTGGCCATGGAAAACAACTGGGTGACCATGGACAAGCCACACTTTCTCAGCCTCAGAGGATAGCAATGGCAAAACCACTTTGAATAAATCTTGTCTTAGGATCACCGTTAAGTCAGAAATGACATGATGGCATGCAAGAAGAAGGAACAAAGATTTCTTTCATTCTGGTTGTGATGTTTTGTGCCTTGGATCATTATCTTTTAAAGAATATGAACTCCAAACTGAACAGAGATATACTGTTGTTACTTCAAGTGTTTTACTTTCACCCATGGATTCTTTATAAATTCTCTAAATAGTGAACCATGGCCTATAAGCATTTACCTAATACCTAAGCTGAAGTCGGAGCACTTGTTACTATGCTTTTTATGTATTTTTAGAGCCCTGCGACTCAGCAACAACAATAACAGCAGCAGTAGCAACAGCTGCAGGAGCCAAGCGGCCGAGGTGTTCTGAGACGCGAACCCCTTCCAGCTCTCCCCTGGCGGGAAAGGTACCTCAGCAGCAGCAACAACAGCAGCGGCTGTGGCACTGAGACCCAGGGGCCAGTGGTGGCATGCATAAAAGCCCACCCCTTTCTAGTTTATATATATATATATATATATATTAGTAGGAGGATTTTGAGCCTTCCTATGTTACCTAATACCATTACCTCTGACAATAGTGTAACTGGGAGATTGTTCAGGCAATAGCAGGGACGGGGGTGTTAGAGGGTATGGCCGTAGTTTTAGATCCAATTCATGGGCTGCATCTCTTTACTTTTTTGTATATTGGAAATATTGCTAGCTTGATACTAGGAGAATTAATTATCGGTCCTTGCATCTGTCCCATTGTTGAATAAATTTTTGTGAGTTATCATTTCTGTGAGTTATAGTTATATATCTGACTAAGATGGTGATGACTAGGAAAGATTACAAAAAGATGGGAATTGATCCCCTTGTAGATACTCTCCTAAAAAGGACAGAGATCAGCCAAAGATTACCCAATTTTATGTTCAAAGTAAGCATGAATTACCTAATAGTTGTTCTGAATCTAAAATTGAGCTTAACAATAATGAAGTTAAGGACGTAACCTCCACAAATGTGGTATCGGTGATGGACTGGTCATTGGACAATATAGGTTCTTGCGAGCCTATCCATAGAAGCTCTTCTTTTCCAAACCTTGCTCTTGAGCTAGCCAATGCTGAACCATCTAAATCATCTGTTGCTAAATGTCAAAATCTGCTTTCCTTTAGATCTGTTAATCTTGCCAACAATGTTACAAAACAAACACCTGAATCTGATCCGAGACAAATAGATTTAACCTCTAGAACTTACATTAGATTACAAAAGTCAATAAATAAGGCAGAAGATCAGGAGTGGATTTCTATGCTAGTAGAAGACATAACAATTATCAACAAATTTCTAACTGAATGTAATACCGTGCTGACCACTTTGGTAAATTTGCATTTAGAATGCAATCCTTTTATTGTACATCAGCAGGAAGAAAAAGCTAAGATAGATACCATCCAATCACCCCGGTTATCATCTTCCTTACAGAAAGCTGAATGTTGCCAAATGAACTGTTCAAATCAAGATAAACTTACGGAAGAAAGGAAAGAAATAGATGGAAACTATAGAATATCTCATA